ATGATGAGTTTAACTATAACAAAAGTTGCTTAAAAGTGTTATGAAATCTCACATAGTATTAGCCCCACCAGCTGGACCGAGTGTTGTACTACAGCACAGTTTCCCTGGCACGGTTCAGACAATACGTTCATGTGTCCGCGGGCCGTTTCCACACCCCTGTGGCGGCGATCTGGGCCACTTGGCCTAGTTCGTTTGTAAAAACCTATGTGACCGTGCCCTAAATCAGTGGACAGTCTTAGGCCAGCTTCTTCTGGTTTTCAGGGGAGACAATCAATCTATGAACAGTAAAAACTAGGGCTTTCGAAATTATCGTGTTATTGCACGTTAATTCATTTTTTTCATTGATTGCGTTGAAAAAATTAACGCATAACCTGCCCATGCATCACATATCAACACTCAGAAGTGACGTGGACACAGGCGTGTGACATGTCGACAGAGCAGGCAGGCATTAGTTGGCATTAGCACAACTCCTTATAAACTGTACAGCAATCACTGATGAAATGGTACCAGAGCAACGCACTGCTAACAAAATATACAGTTCAATAACTGAAAGAATTGTTAAGTGTTAAGTTAACACTTAAAGAGTTGAATTTTACTGTCATTTAGAGTGTATGGTCCGACTCCAAACTGGTGTTAGGTTGAAGTGTTACATTTCTAGAGTTAATTTGACTCTAATTAGAGTAAATGATTTACACTACAGTGTCATCAAAAAACAACACTGAGTACAATAACTCAGGTGAAGTGTCATTACTACTAAAAGTGAGTGTTGTCTGTTACACTTAGCTGAGTAAATTTTACTCCTTTAAGAGTTACAATAACTGACCCGTGTACACTCTAAAGTGTCATTAAAAACACAGATTGAGTGTCATTACTACTCTTCATTAGTGTTGACTGTAACACTTAAAGGAGCTAAATTTACTCTAGACAGTTACCCGCGTACACTACAGTGTCATAAAAACACAAATCAAGTGTCATTACTACTCTAAGAGTGCTTCCTAAAGCCTGGTTCACACGAGACGATTTTAAAATTGTCGGCCGAATTTATTTATTTTATTTTTTTTATTTTTTTATCTGTGTGAGACCCTACACCCGGAGAAAAAAAAATCACGGGTCTAACCACTTTGGTCGTACAGTGTGTGGTGCGCAGCCACACGGCAAAATCACGCAAATCACACACAAACCGATTGCACCCCCGAGCATTCACAGGTCACTGGAAATCTCACAACATCTCTCGAGATCAAGCGAGACTTCAGAGTAAACAGAGTGTGCGGGCCTCTCTGCTTCACGCAGCCTATAGCGACTCTCATTTGACCACAGCAGCAACAGACACCATGAGTATGGCGTCAAAATAGGGTCTGCTTAACCCTATGAACCCGCCTGCATCGGCGCCGATGCAGGCGCACGTTTTACAAATGATCAATTTACTCGCGAACGGTAAAACGTAGCAACTTACTCTTTTTTCCTCTGTGAAGTACGTATTCAGGGCTTTTGTCTGTGCGATGCACGGAGGATAAACTACGTTTGTCTGAAAGTCCGTGTCCAAAGCGTGACCCGTGAGGTACAAACAGCTGTGAGATACAAACACACGGAGACTGCCAAAGATCGTCAGAGAGTGAGATGTCTCACTCCTCTGCATGTACTTGTTCTCCCACAGTTGAAACTAGAGCTGCGATTGCAATAACCGGCTGAAGAGTGCGCATTATTGATAAAGACGATAATAAATACAGTAAAATGACATGTGTATATGATGTATATAAATATATGTATTATATAAATGTTTTTTTTTTTTTTTTTTGGCTCAGTTTCTTATGTTTTACGTTTTTTACAGCTGTGCTACAGAAGCAACCCCAGCATTATAGACAAACTGCTTCAGGAAGAGCATCAGGAGTACAGAGTTTTTTGCTTTTATAGTGGAATTTTGTAAAAAGTATAATAGTTAGAGATTCAATTTTTTTCCCCATTATCCCCAAGTCCCTAAATAACATTTCTATGCAGTGTAAAAAGTTGTTTATAGCATTTCATTGTGTTTTTTCAACACATTTTTGTTAAATTGATTTTCCGTTTTATTTTTTTCTTTGTCTTCATGATTCCATAATTTTTATATAATTCATATGACAGCTTTACAATATGAATATTCTAAAACCCCAGGTTGTACTGAAAAAAACAAAGTATACTGCTTGACTCTGCCTCAAAAGATGACTGTTTTATGAACAATTATACACAAAGAAAACCAGGCGAGGAAAGTTCCCCAAAATGACCCATGTGCATAGAGGGTTAAACAGATTCAGATTCATTTATTTGCCATTTGCAGTAAAACCACATTGGAAAAACTGTGCAAGACTACCCCGGTGTGCACCAGACAGAGAAGACGACACACACCAGAGCTCTTGCCACGGCGCCATCTTTACGGCGCCATGCGACAAACAGTAGAATAAACAGCAGAGAGCAACAACATACAGTTTCACAGACAGTTGGATAGACACATTGTGCTTTGTATAAACCACGGATTTTTTTCTTGGGATGAGCACCTCCGACTGCCGGCCCAATGTGGCTGTCAGAGGGGGGCGGGGTCAGGGAGGGGGTGAGTCGGAAACACAATGAGGAGTGGAGGGGAGGGAGGGAGCAAGATGGATAGGTAGAGGGAGGCGGGGGAACGGGATCCTTGCTGGACTGAAATAGTGTGAGATTGTTGTAGATATGGGGACCTTGTTATTATGGCCTTGGCCGAGGAATGTGAGATAAGAGTGGAGAGAAGACACAGCAGGAGAAAAACACATCGCCTGAGGGGGACAATATTGTATGCAATGTAGCAGTCAAAAGCAGGCAGATATTCTATTAAATCCAATTAATCCGAATTGCGGAAAACGTAACCATAAAGCAGGAATTGTAAACGTAGGTTCTAAGTATTGTAAACATAAAAAAATATTGTAAACGAAAAAACTGTAGCGTAACCGTAAAGCAGGAATTGTAATCGTAGGTTGTAAGTAACATAAAAAATATATTGTAAATTTAAACGCATGTACCATCATTTAATATCATAGAATTTTGATCAGTGAAACGTTGTTCGAGCAGCGGAGCGGCAAAATTTTGCTTGTTTTCCCCTCATTTTTGACAATGGACAATTGACTCCCGTTTGCACATACAAGTCCAATTTGCACAAAACTTTCATCCATTGTTAAACTATAGGGCCTAGGTCATTTGAAAGTGAAATAATTCAATTTTACATAGTCTGTAGGGAGCGCTAATGGGCCAAAGTTTTACATAGGGTTAATCACATTTAGTTTTTTCCAAATGTTTGAGATTTTGCACATAATTCTGTTTTGACCTCTTGATTCAAAAAGTCAATGAGACCCAAGACTTATATTTTACCTGTTGCCGTGGCGACGTCAAAAGCTCCCCATTCTATGTGAAGGGCAAATGTACACCTCGCACAAACATCAGACCAGCCTCGGCCGTATCACTAATTTGGCTGAAAATCGCTCCACATCATCTCAACACATGTCCCATCAATAGTTGTTCGTAGAATTTTGATTAGTCACTTGCTCATCCAAAGGACACTGTATTTATATGGACACACTAACAGATTATACATGTGCTCCTGTTTACACATACAAACTTGACTGTGTTGTTCAACTCCTACAGACTGAGCCAAAGTATTACATGGGGAGCCAAACCAACTGATGATATTCATTACAATTTCATCAGTTGGTTTGGGCCCTTCGACGCCGCTTGTGGCTTTAATTTATAATTGATATTGGTAACTTCCATGAACCAAAACAACATGCATTTTAAATGTTTATTATAAAAAATGAAGATTGAAAACCAATCTGTATAATTGTACTTGTTTATCAAAAATCTAATGTTTGTTTTTTTCAAACAGGTATGTAGAGGAGCACGTACAGCGTACCGGAGTTGCCATTGAGACACAAGGGTTCAACTTTGTAACAAGTGGCCGTAAACGAGAGTCTCTCACGGTTTGTATCAATTGTATCTAGGGTTGCCGAGATTAACCGGTTTTACGGTAATCGCAATTATAAAAGCCAGCGGTAGGTTGACCATAAGGATTTTAGATGGCACGATTTACCGCTGGTCCGGAAAACACTCCCGCAAGGTGAAACGTTGGGTACAGGCCGCTGCTCACGGAGCAGCGCAGACTCACCGGTAAATGGAAGATGGCAGGACAAGCTCCCCCAGAGTTGTATCCACCAGAACTGTCAGCAGTGTGGGATCACTTTGGAAATCCAAAATATGAGTAAGATGTCAATACTTCAAACATGATACAACATCTTCAGGTAATCCTTCTTTGCTGTATGTCCAAGTCAAGGGAAACAACTGCATCATTGTCAATAAAGTTGTTCAAATTTTCAGAAATAGGATTCTGTAAATCTAAAAGTGAAAGTTGCCGGTGAAAACACTCGCACGTGTGGGGGTTAGACGCTCTTAAAGGGACAGTATGCACGTATCCTTAGTCAACTAAACAAATGCAGACATGACACCTAAACTACAAATATGGAGATGGCTGCTACTACAAAACTATTAGGCTATATAAATTCCTGAATTTATTTTTTACAATAAAATAATGTAAAATATTATATGATCTTAATTCATCCATTTATTGTTTTACAGCAAAAAAACTAAAACAATCTGAATTGATTTTCTTTCATAAGTAAGCAACTAATGGTTATTTATATAGTGCATTTCACAGACCAAAGTCACCCAAAGCGCTTTACAATGTTCAGAGCCCAGATATTGTTCCAATCATTCTACACACAGTGATGACGGAAACGAGCAAACTGGCACATCAGCCCACAATCAACACCATCCATTCACTTCCCTCATTTACGTTCATACCTATTGTGCATGTTTTTAGTGGTAGGGGAAACCGGAGCACCCGGAGGAAACATGCAAACTCCACTCAGAAAGGCCCTGTTCCCAGAGCTGGTGCTTGCCGCATAGGGGCCCTACACCTAATTCGCTTTCTTCTAAAACTTTCTCAATCATTATCTGAATCATTTCATTTTGAATTGACTAACCGAGACAATGGACATGTTTCCTTGTCCTTTACTTTGTTGACATAATTTTCCATGACTATGTCGAAATTTGCAAGAAGCTCAACTCCTTTTAAAGTAAGTTTCCATTATCTGGCTCAAAAAAAACATGAGATCAGAATCAGAATCATTTTTATTGCCACGTAAGTAACAGGAGGTCACAGACTTGGAAATTGCTTTGGCTCAGTGCAACAGTCAGAAAGAGATAATAAGAATAAAAAACACTTCTAAAGAATAAATTTAAATTTAAAATAGAGTTACAGTTACTATATACAATATACAAGTGCACATGGTGCACACAATGTAAGGTGACAGCAGTACAGTGAAGTAAAGTGACTTTATAATGGGCAGTAAAGTGACTTTATAATGGGCAGTAAAGTGACTTTATAAGGGGGACAGGTTAAGAAGTGTTCAAGAGTCCAACAGCAGAGGGGAAGAAACTGTTCTTGTGGCGGGAGGTTCTAGTCCTGATGGACCGCAGCCTCCTGCCTGAGGGGAGTGGTTGGAATAGTCCATGTGCAGGGTGAGAGGGGTCGGCTGTGATACGACCAGCTCGAGCTCGGGCGACGTACAGGTCCTGCAGCGATGGAAGGCTGCGGCCGATCACTTCCTCTGCAGAGCGCACAATGCGCTGTAGTCTCTGTTTGTCCCTGACTGTGGCTCCAGCGAACCACACGGTAACGGAGGAGGTGAGGATGGACTCGATGATGGCCGTGTAGAACTGCACCAACATCTGTGCAGGCAGCTTGGCTTTCCTGAGCTGCCGCAGGAAGTACATCCTCTCCTGGGCCTTCTTGATGAGGGAGCTGATGGTCGGCTCCCACTTGAGGTCCTGGGTGATGGTGGTGCCCAGGAAACGGAAGGACTCCACAGAGGTGATGGGGAAGTCCATCACGGAGGGTGGGGGCGGGGGGACAGTGCTCTTCCTGAAGTCCACTATCATCTCCACTGTCTTCTGGGCGTTCAGCTCCAGGTTGTTACCACTGCACCAGGACACCAGCCGGTCCACCTCCCTCCTGTAGGCGGACTCATCGTTGTTGGAGATGAGTCCAATGAGGGTGGTGTTGTCCGCGAACTTGATCAGCTTCACAGAGTCGTGGCTGGAGGTGCAGTGCTTGGTGTACAGGGAGAAGAGCAGGGGAGAAAGAACACAGCCCTGTGGGGCTCCTGTATTTATAATCCGAGAGTCCGAGACATTCTTCCCCAGACGCACTCGCTGCTTCCTGTCCGTCAGGAAGTCAGTGATCCACCTGCAGGTGGAATCGGAAACGTTGAGCTGGGAGAGCTTGTCCTGGAGCAGGGATGGCAGGATTGTGTTGAAGGCAGAGCTGAAGTCCACGAACAGGACCCTGGCGTAGGTCCCCGGGGAGTCCAGGTGCTGTAGGATGTGGTGGAGGGCCAGGTTAATGGCGTCGTCTACAGATCTGTTTGCTCTGTAGGCGAACTTCAGGGGGTCCAGGAGGGGGGAGGTGAGGGACTTGAGATGGGAGAAAACCAGGCGTTCAAATGACTTCATGACGACAGACGTAAGTGCTACAGGTCTGTAGTCATTGAGTCCTGTGATCCTGGGCTTCTTCGGGACGGGCACAATGATGGAGGATTTGAAGCAGGCCGGGACATGGCAGGACTGCAGAGAGGTGTTGAAAATGTGAGTGAACACAGGAGTAAGCTCACTGGCGCAGTGTCTCAGAGTGGCCGGAGACACGTGGTTCGGGCCAGGAGCTTTGCGGGGGTGCAGCCTCAAGAAGAGTTGTTTAATCTCTTTAGCGGCTATTGTTAGGCTGGGGCAGGGCTGATGGGTGGGTCGTTAGAGTAGTGGGGGGTGGGGGAGGGAGAGGTGTCAGGGGCAGCATCAAAGCGACTGAAAAATAAGTTCAGTTCGTCAGCTAGCTTGTGCTCGTCAGCACGGGGGGGGGCTTTGGGCTTGTAGTTGGTGATCTCCCGTAGGCCCCTCCAGACAGAAGCAGTATCGTTGTTACCAAACTGCTCCTGTAGTCGTTCTCTGTGCCGGGACTTGGCTGCTTTCAGTTCTTTCCTGAACAGATATTTAGCTGCTTTGTAGCCGCTGCGGTCCCCCTCCCTGAAAGCAGACTCCTTTGCTTTCCTGAGCTGCCGGAGTTTAGCAGTGAACCAGGGTTTGTCATTGTTATAGATGACCCTGGTCCTTTTTGGAATGATGCTATCCTCGCAGAAGTGAATGTATGACGTCACAGTGTCCGTGTATTCATCCAAACTATCTGTGGCAGCTCTGAAAAGGTCCCAGTCTGTAGATTCCATGCATGCGCGCAGCTCTTCCACAGCTTCATCAGACCACACTTTGGCGCTCCCACTGCAGGTTTCGAGAGCTTTAATCTCTGTCTGTAAGCAGGAACCAGATGTATCATGGAGTGATCTGAGAAGCCGAGGGCTGGCTTGGGAACAGCGCGAAAAGCTCCGCGCACGGTGGTGTAGCAGTGATCCAGAGTGTTCTCCTCTCTGGTCGGGCATTTGATAAACTGTCTGTATTTGGGTAATTCCTGGCTCAAGTTTCCCTTGTTAAAATCCCCCAGGATAATAATCAGAGTCCGGGTATTAACGTTCCATACACAGTACTTGCTCTGCGAGTGCGCGCTGAGCCTCGCGCGCGTCCGCGCATGGCGGTATGTAAACGGAGGCAAGAATGAATGAAACAATTTCAAGAGATGAGCCTTTAAGTGCCGAGTTCCGTTCAGCCAGTGATTGAATGATGCAAATATGGCGCTTGAGGACATCTCGCCACCTTTCTTTCAATTTCCATACTTGTCTTCTGAATATGATCAATCGTTTTTTCAAGGCCAAATACGTTTATCAAGTTCTCTCCACTTGACCATGCTTGAGGTGTGTTCATTGCTGCTTTCATGGTGGTTTAGAATGGCATTGATATTTGACCAGTCATCTATAACTATATACCATTGATATATAAAAAAAAAATCCTTTTTAATAATCACCATGGTATTAATATATAACTAAATATTGATATTAGTAGTGCATTATACTAACACTGTTAGTATTATGTTCTATATTAATAATTTAACAAAATACCGTTTATTTTGAAGGTGTCCACCTTAACCACAACAAAGAGACCGATTTAAGTTGTTTTGGAACTCGTTAAAACCGAGATAAAACATGTCACACACAATATTCGACTTTCTTTGCAGACAGTCAATGCAACCACACGTTTTTTACCCGACTGTAGTTCCCACAGTTCGCTGTAGTGGTGTCTTTTTTTTTCCTTTTTTCATGACCTGAGGGTTAACTTCATTTGCTTGTTTGCCTCTCAGCCTCTGCTTGCAGAGCCTTGTAGATCGCTGCGCTTCTCACGAGTGCGTGAAGCCAAACGCCTCTGGTGGAGCATGGCGGAACTACAAGGGTCTGGTGAGACCCAGGCTACTGCTCGTGGCTGCGCGACTGACAACAACAAGGTGGAGGGAGGGGAGGGTTGAAAGCGCGAGTACGTAACGTATGAGGATCATGGGGTCAGCAACTGACAACTTTAACAACCAATCACATGGGTGATTTTGGATAAGAACTGCACGAGTGAGAGCAATGAGAAAAAAAATAGTCCGCACTCCGGGGCCCTTCCAGCTGCGGGGCCCTACGCATACTGCGTAGTCTGAGTATAGGAAGCGCCAGCTCTGCCTGTTCCGTCCGGGATTCGAATCCAGGACCTTCTTGCTGAGAAGCGAGAGTGCTATCCACTCAGCCACCGTGCATAATTGAATCAACAATCATGATTAATCGTAAAACAGCAATATTTTCTAGTCACAATAATTGTGACAAAAAAATCTGAAATCGTGGCAACCCTAATTGTATCATTGTTCTTGCCGTGAGGTGGACAACAGAAATCTCACAGCAGTTGTGTGTTTCATCTCAGGGCAATGCTACACTGCACCTGTACCCACATTTCAAGCCACTGCAACAGTTCAAAGGTACTTCAATTTATTCATGTTTACAACACAATTTATTCATTTGTTACAATATTTAACTTATTTTGTCTGGGATTCTGTTCAGGGGTTTCAGAGTACTTGAGCACAGAAATCTGCACATCTCGGCAGAAGCGCTTCAGCCTTGTCACCTTTGTGGACTCCCCTGGCCTTGTGGATGGAGACATGAAGTATCCATTTGATGTGGACGAGGTCATCCTTTGGCTTGGTCAGTGGATTCTTTTGAAATGCTTAGCTTAAATTACACTCTTCCCAACTTTGCTTACAGTAGCCTTGGTTTGTAAAAAATTATATCTGATCCTGACTATACATTAGTAATAAGATTTTGTTCCTAATGTACAATGTACATTCTACTAAATGCCTGCTGTTTAATTTAACTTGTAGCACCAGTTGGAGCAGGGGTGGGCAATTATTTTTTCCGGGGAGCTGCATGAGAAAGAGAAAAAGTTGTGGAGGGCTAGGTCAAAAATAGGAATAAAAAAAAATAATGCAAGATTCCTTCTCCACTTTGACTTCCACTGGTGTCTGTTGTCGTTTTGTTCTTGGGCATGACAGCCCCACACTGCTTGGAGCCCCCGTTCAAAGATCAAGGCTGTGCTGTCACTGACAAAGCAGCCATCCTTTCTCTTTTTTTTTTTTTTTCCCCAAATATAGTTTATTAGTATGGAAGCCCGTTTCCGCCATGTAAAAAAAAAAAAAAAGCCTACAGAAAGTCAAAATTTTGACTTTAAAAGTCAAAATTACGACTTTAAAAGTCAAAATTTCGACTTTTAAAAGTCAAAATTTCGACTTTAAAAGTCAAAATTACGACTTTAAAAGTCAAAATTTCGACTTTAAAAGTCAAAATTTTGACTTTAAAAGTCAAAATTTCGACTTTAAAAGTCAAAATTATGAGTTTTCAACTGCGCATGTGCAGTTGAAAACTCGTGTGTGTTGTTGTCTGGAACGGTCTCTGGACGTCCTGCACCTGCAGATTATGTGAAGATATTGCTGACAGCGACCACTGCATCCTTGAAGTAGCCAGAAATAATGTTGTTTGATTGATTCTGTAAAACGTTCCTGTTTAAGCCCCAGACCGCGGTCGTAGGAGGCAGGGAGGAGCTGTCTTTTTATTTATTTATGTTAAATTCAATTTACATATATACAACATTTAAATCAAACGACTTCTTATTTCGACATAGTAACAAATAATGTGAGCAATACGTTTTTATAATAAATCAAAGGAAAATGAGCCATCGAGACATTCCAATCCAATCTGCTATAGACCACTCTGACCAGACAATGGCGCTGAGAGGGGTCCACACGGAGCGAGTATTTCCACGGCTGAAAGGATGCGCTTTCTACGTGTTGAGTACGGGGTTTTATTCATGCATCTATAATGGGTTTATCTATTTCTAACCCTTTTCAAAGACCCTCACTGTTATCTGCGGAGTTATTTCTCCGGATTGTTGCTAAAAGAGTCGTGGGCTTTATTTTGTCACAATAAAATAATCAGACAAGGTACTTATTCCCTGTATGTCTCTGTGTTCTTGCTCATACGCCAACAACTTTACCCGCACGCTCCATCAGCTCACCCCCGCGTGCACGCAAACACGTCACATACTCTTCATTGCACTGATCACAATTCCAAAAGGGTATTATTGTCAGTGCCCGTGACTGTGGTTCTCCTGCCTCTGTCTGTGGTTCTCCTGCCTCTGTCTGTGGTTCTCCTGCCTCTGTCTGTGGTTCTCCTGCCTCTGTCTGTGGTTTACCTGCCTCTGTCTGTGGTTCTCCTGCCTCTGTCTGTGGTTCTCCTGCCTCTGTCTGTGGTTCTCCTGCCTCTGTCTGTGGTTCTCCTGCCTCTGTCTGCGGACCTCCCTCACTGTCCTGTAATCGCGAACGGTCTCTCTGTCAGTCACAATATTATTCACTGCATTTCTGGTGCATCCATCGATAGCCGTGATACTGACCAGATGTCACCAGTTGATGCTCAATGACTTTGAACAGCCACATGTGTTTTATTATTAATCTTCCACAGTCCGTTTAGGATAAACTAAATAGAGGCTTCTGAAGCGGATTCTAATCATAAACGGAGAGACCGTTTGCATTTTAACGCGATTACTACCACAACATTATTGCTGCTACTTCATGGATGTGGTCACTGTCTGTAGGCAAAATCTTCACATAATCTGCAGGTAGAGGATGACCCATGGTCATAGATCTATAACAGGGATGACCAGAGACCGTTCCAGACAGCAACACATACGAGTTTTCAACTGCACATGCGCAGTTGAAAAAACTCGTAATTTTGACTTTTAAAGTCAAAATTTTGACTTTTAAAAGTCGAAATTTTGACTTTTAAAAAAGTCGAAATTTTGACTTTTAAAGTCGAAATTTTGACTTTTAAAAGTCGAAAAAGAAAAAAAAAGAGAAAAAAAAACTAGTACTTCACGCTAAAATATAAGAACAGAGGCATAACTTCTGTGAAAAGTAAACTCTCTCTTTGTGGTCTCTCTTTCTCTGTGTTCTCTCTTCTTTTTCTCTCCTTGGTCTCTCTATAACTCTCTCTGTGGTCTCTATGTGTCTGTGCTCTCTCTCTCTCTGTGGTCTCTCTATGTGTCGTGCTCTCTCTCTCTGTGCTTCTCTCTCTGTGGTCTCTCTCTTGTGGTCTCTCTATGTGTCTGTGCTCTCTCTCTCTGTGTCTCTCTCTGTGGTCTCTCTATGTGTCTGTGCTCTCTCTCTCTGTGCTCTCTCTCTGTGGTCTCTCTATGTGTCTGTGCTCTCTCTCTCTCTCTGTGCTCTCTCTCTGTGGTCTCTCTATGTGTCTGTGCTCTCTCTCTCTCTCTGTGCTCTCTCTCTCTGTGCTCTCTCTCTGTGGTCTCTCTCTGTGGTCTCTCTATGTGTCTGTGCTCTCTCTCTCTGTGCTCTCTCTCTGTGGTCTCTCTATGTGTCTGTGGCTCTCTCTCTCTGTGGTCTCTCTCTGTGGTCTCTTCTATGTGTCTGGTGCTCTCTCTCTCTGTGCTCTCTCTCTGTGGTCTCTTCTATGTTGTCTGTGCTCTCTCTCTCTCTCTGTGCTCTCTCTCTGTGGTCTCTCTATGTGTCTGTGCTCTCTCTCTCTGTGCTCTCTCTCTGTGGTCTCTCTATGTGTCTGTGCTCTCTCTCTCTGTGCTCTCTCTCTCTGTGGTCTCTCTCTGTGGTATCTCTCTGTGTCTGTGCTCTCTCTCTCTGTGCTCTCTCTCTGTGGTCTCTCTATGTGTCTGTGCTCTCTCTCTCTGTGCTCTCTCTCCTGTGGTCTCTCTCTGTGGTCTCTCTATGTGTCTGTGCTCTCTCTCTCTGTGCTCTCTCTCTGTGGTCTCTCTATGTGTCTGTGCTCTCTCTCTCTCTCTGTGCTTCTCTCTGTGGTCTCTCTATGTGTCTGTGCTCTCTCTCTCTGTGCTCTCTCTCTGTGGTCTCTCTATGTGTCTGTGCTCTCTCTCTCTGTGGTCTCTCTCTGTGGTCTCTCTATGTGTCTGTGCTCTCTCTCCCTCTGTGCTCTCTCTCTGTGGTCTCTCTATGTGTCTGTGCTCTCTCTCTCTGTGCTCTCTCTCTCTGTGGTCTCTCTCTGTGGTCTCTCTATGTGTCTGTGCTCTCTCTCTGAGCTCTCTCTCTGTTGGTCTCTCTATGTGTCTGTGCTCTCTCTCTCTGTGCTCTCTCTCTGTGGTCTCTCTCTGTGGTCTCTCTATGTGTCTGTGCTCTCTCTCTCTGTGCTCTCTCTCTGTGGTCTCTCTATGTGTCTGTGCTCTCTCTCTCTGTGCTCTCTCTCTGTGGTCTCTCTATGTGTCTGTGCTCTCTCTCTCTGTGGTCTCTCTATGTGTCTGTGCTCTCTCTCTCTGTGCTCTCTCTCTCTGTGGTCTCTCTCTGTGGTCTCTCTATGTATCTGTGCTCTCTCTCTCTGTGCTCTCTCTCTGTGGTCTCTCTATGTGTCTGTGCTCTCTCTCTCTGTGCTCTCTCTCTGTGGTCTCTCTCTGTGGTCTCTCTATGTGTCTGTGCTCTCTCTCTCTGTGCTCTCTCTCTGTGGTCTCTCTATGTGTCTGTGCTCTCTCTCTCTCTGTGCTCTCTCTCTGTGGTCTCTCTATGTGTCTTGTGCTCTCTCTCTCTGTGCTCTCTCTCTGTGGTCTCTCTATGGTGTCTGTGCTCTCTCTCTCTGTGCTCTCTCTCTCTGTGGTCTCTCTCTGTGGTCTCTCTATGTGTCTGTGCTCTCTCTCTCTGTGCTCTCTCTCTGTGGTCTCTTTATGTGTCCTGTGCTCTCTCTCTCCTATGTGTCTGTGCTCTCTCTCTGTGTCTCTCTCTGTGGTCTCTCTATGTGTCTTGTGCTCTCTCTCTCTGGTGCTCTCTCTCTGTGGTCTCTCTATGTGTCTGTGCTCTCTCTCTCTCTCTCTGTGCTCTCTCTCTGTGGTCCTCTCTCTGTGTCTGTGCTCTCTATGTGTCTCTCTCTCTGTGCTCTCTCTCTGTGGTCTCTCTATGTGTCTGTGCTCTCATCTCTCTGTGCTCTCTCTCTGTGGTCCATCTATTGTGTTATTTGCGCCTCTCTCTCTGTGGTCTCTCTCTGTGTCTCTCTCTGGAGTGCTCTCTCTCTGTGGGCACTCTCTCTGTGTGAACGTGTGTGTGCTCTCTCTCTGTGGACAGGAGACAGAACGTGTGTGTGCTCTCTCTCTGTGGACAGGAGATAGAACGTGTGTGTGCTCTCTCTCTGTGGACAGGAGATAGAACGTGTGTGTGCTCTCTCTCTGTGGACAGGAGATCTCTCTCTCTCTGTGGACAGGAGATAGAACGTGTGTGTGCTCTCTCTCTGTGGACAGGAGATAGAACGTGTGTGTGCTCTCTCTCTGTGGACAGGAGATAGAACGTGTGTGTGCTCTCTCTCTGTGGGCAGGAGATAGAACGTGTGTGTGCTCTCTCTCTGTGGACAGGAGATAGAACGTGTGTGTGCTCTCTCTCTGTGGGCAGGAGATAGAACGTGTGTGTGCTCTCTCTCTGTGGGCAGGAGATAGAACGTGTGTGTGCTCTCTCTCTGTGGGCAGGAGATAGAACGTGTGTGTGCTCTCTCTCTGTGGGCAGGAGATAGAACGTGTGTGTGTGTCTCCTCTCTCTGTGGGCAGGAGATAGAACGTGTGTGTGCTCTCTCTCTGTGGACAGGAGATAGAACGTGTGTGTGCTCTCTCTCTGTGGACAGGAGATAGAACGTGTGTGTGCTCTCTCTCTGTGGACAGGAGATAGAACGTGTGTGTGCTCTCTCTCTGTGGACAGGAGATAGAACGTGTGTGTGCTCTCTCTCTGTGGACAGGAGATAGAACGTGTGTGTGCTCTCTCTCTGTGGACAGGAGATAGAACGTGTGTGTGCTCTCTCTCTGTGGTCAGGAGATAGAACGTGTGTGTGCTCTCTCTCTGTGGACAGGAGATAGAACGTGTGTGTGCTCTCTCTCTGTGGCGATAGACTGTGTGGACAGGAGATAGAACGTGTGTGTGCTCTCTCTCTGTGGGCAGGAGACAGAACGTGTGTGTGCTCTCTCTCTGTGGGCAGGAGATAGAACGTGTGTGTGCTCTCTCTCTGTGGACAGAAGATAGAACGTGTGTGTGCTCTCTCTCTGTGGACAGGAGATAGAACGTGTGTGTGCTCTCTCTCTGTGGGCAGGAGACAGAACGTGTGTGTGCTCTCTCTCTGTGGACAGAAGATAGAACGTGTGTGTGCTCTCTCTCTGTGGACAGGAGATAGAACGTGTGTGTGCTCTCTCTCTGTGGGCAGGAGATAGAACGTGTGTGTGCTCTCTCTCTGTGGGCAGGAGATAGAACGTGTGTGTGCTCTCTCTCTGTGGGCAGGAGATAGAACGTGTGTGTGCTCTCTCTCTGTGGGCAGGAGATAGAACGTGTGTGTGCTCTCTCTCTGTGGGCAGGAGATAGAACGTGTGTGTGCTCTCTCTCTCTGTGGACAGGAGATAGAACGTGTGTGTGCTCTCTCTCTGTGGACAGGAGACAGAACGTGTGTGTGCTCTCTCTCTGTGGTCAGGAGATAGAACGTGTGTGTGCTCTCTCTCTGTGGACAGGAGATAGAACGTGTGTGTGCTCTCTCTCTGTGGGCAGGAGATAGAACGTGTGTGTGCTCTCTCTCTGTGGGCAGGAGATAGAACGTGTGTGTGCTCTCTCTCTGTGGGCAGGAGATAGAACGTGTGTGTGCTCTCTCTCTGTGGACAGGAGATAGAACGTGTGTGTGCTCTCTCTCTGTGGGCAGGAGATAGAACGTGTGTGTGCTCTCTCTCTCTGTGGACAGGAGATAGAACGTGTGTGTGCTCTCTCTCTGTGGACAGGAGATAGAACGTGTGTGTGCTCTCTCTCTGTGGACAGGAGACAGAACGTGTGTGTGCTCTCTCTCTGTGGACAGGAGATAGAACGTGTGTGTGCTCTCTCTCTGTGGACAGGAGATAGAACGTGTGTGTGCTCTCTCTCTGTGGGCAGGAGATAGAACGTGTGTGTGCTCTCTCTCTGTGGGCAGGAGATAGAACGTGTGTGTGCTCTCTCTCTGTGGACAGGAGATAGAACGTGTGTGTGCTCTCTCTCTGTGGACAGGAGATAGAACGTGTGTGTGCTCTCTCTCTGTGGACAGGAGATAGAACGTGTGTGTGCTCTCTCTCTGTGGACAGGAGATAGAACGTGTGTGTGCTCTCTCTCTGTGGGCAGGAGACAGAACGTGTGTGTGCTCTCTCTCTGTGGACAGGAGATAGAACGTGTGTGTGCTCTCTCTCTGTGGACAGGAGATAGAACGTGTGTGTGCTCTCTCTCTGTGGACAGGAGATAGAACGTGTGTGTGCTCTCTCTCTGTGGACAGGAGACAGAACGTGTGTGTGCTCTCTCTCTGTGGACAGGAGACAGAACGTGTGTGTGCTCTCTCTCTGTGGACAGGAGACAGAACGTGTGTGTGCTCTCTCTCTGTGGACAGGAGACAGAACGTGTGTGTGCTCTCTCTCTGTGGGCAGGAGATAGAACGTGTGTGTGCTCTCTCTCTCTGTGGACAGGAGACAGAACGTGTGTGTGCTCTCTCTCTGTGGACAGGAGAGCGTCTGGGCCAATGTGGACAAGTCTCTGGAGTGCATCGTGCAGCGAGTGGACAAACTGCTGCAGAAGGAGCGGAGACGCAGCCAGAGCGGCGCCGACAGCAGCCTCAGCGCCACGACCACGCCCGCGACCACGACCACGACCAAGACCAAGACCAAGACCAAGACAGGTCTCTGAGAAAATACTGAAACATCATTAAAGGAGACATGTTATCCTCAAAGTTTAAGTGAAGCCAGTGGGACCAAAGCAGTACATAGGAAAGAACGAGCCAAATGTCTTCTTGTTCTCATGGCATGGTGGGCTGAGGCGACCCTGGACTGAGGCTGTAGACCCAGGACTGAGGCTGTAGACCCAGGACTGAGACTGTAGACCCTGGACTGAGGCTGTAGACCCAGGACTGAGGCTGTAGACCCAGGACTGAGGCTGTAGACCCAGGACTGAGGCTGTAGACCCAGGACTGAGGCTGTAGACCCAGGACTCAGGACTGAGGCTGTAGACCCAGGACTGAGGCTGTAGACCCAGGACTGAGGCTGTAGACCCAGGACTGAGACTGTAGACCCTGGACTGAGGCTGTAGACCCAGGACTGAGGCTGTAGACCCAGGACTGAGGCTGTAGACCCAGGACTGAGGCTGTAGACCCAGGACTGAGGCTGTAGACCCAGGACTGAGGCTGTAGACCCAGGACTGAGGCTGTAGACCCAGGACTGAGGCTGTAGACCCAGGACTGAGGCTGTAGACCCAGGACTCAGGACTGAGGCTGTAGACCCAGGACTCAGGACTGAGGCTGTAGACCCAGGACTGAGGCTGTAGACCCAGGACTGAGGCTGCAGACCCAGGACTGAGGCTGTAGACCCAGGACTGAGGCTGTAGACCCAGGACTGAGGCTGTAGACCCAGGACTGAGGCTGTAGACCCAGGACTGAGGCTGTAGACCCAGGACTGAGGCTGTAGAAACCTGCATGTGCGAAAAATACAAAAGTTTTATCCAACTTCAGCCTCAGCACAACATGTCTCCTTTAAAAAGCGATGCAGACTGTGGTGTACATCAGAATGACTAAAACATTTTGGATCGATCCCGGTGGAAACCCGGCCCCGCCCTCGTGGTCCTCAGCCCAGACCTCGGCCGCTCCCTCCAGCCCCCAGCATGTGTCCAGTGGGTCATTCTGCTCGTCTCCGCTGCTCTTCCTTCCCCACCCTACAAAAAATAACAACAGGATAATGACCCTTCTCACCCTAGGCCTGAAAACGCACAGATTCCAAAACAGACTTATTATTACCACTGTCAAGAAGGTTATGTTGTCACCTGGGTTTGTTTGTTTGCGGGTTAGTAGGTATCCCTATGCACACTGCCCCCTTGTGGAGACATTGGTCGTATGTTGTTGTTTACCAATGACTTATTCAGTTTTGTTGCTTAATAACTAGCAGACAAACAAACACACCCAGACGGAAACATGTTTTATCGCCTCCGCTAATGACTGCTTAAGCTAACGTCTGCTTAAGCTAATGACTGCTTAAGCTAACGTCTAACGGCAGCCGTTTGGTGATTACCGTCTGTTCAGGTCAGACTAATGTGGTTCTCTCTGTGATTGTCGCTGTAACAGAACTACTCTGTCGTGTTAGCGCTTCCAAAGAATCACTAAGAACCCCAGTCAAACCGTGAACTTGTCTTTTTAAACTGGATCTGTATAAACATGACCTATGCACAGATTGTATACAGATGCACGATGCTAACATGCTAGCTCAGTGAAGCAATCGCAAAGCCGTTTATGTCACACTCACCATTTTGGGCTTCCATGGATTCCTTGGTTTATATTTTGATATTTTCTTACATAGTGCCATATAAGGATTGGCCAATCGGACGCCTTCCTTTGCGTGGGAAACCCCAGCTTGCCGTTGCAGCTGAGTTAGCGACACGTCTGCCTCAAAGACCATAAAACTAGCCTCAATTCAGAAGAAGCCGATTTGAACACAAGCTCGCTGGAACCAATTTTCTTCTATGGCCATTACTTCCACTGTGTTTTTAAAGCCACAATGGTGAGCACTTCCTTATCGTGTTCAAAGAGCTAGCGGGTTAGCGGGTTAGCGTTGTCCATCTGTATACAGTCTATGGTGTGCACCTGTTATGCTGCGAAGCTAACCATCCATAGTTCTTTGCTGGGACACTCTTGGCTTGTCTGTGGTCTCTGGCGTCTGTGGCGTCTGTGGTCTCTGGCGTCTGTGGCGTCTGTGGTCTCTGGCGTCTGTGGCGTCTGTGGTCTCTGGCGTCTGTGGCGTCTGTGGTCTCTGGCGTCTGTGGCGTCTGTGGTCTCTGGTGTCTGTGGCGTCTGTGGTCTCTGGCGTCTGTGGCGTCTGTGGTCTGTGGCGTCTGTGGTCTCTGGCGTCTGTGGCGTCTGTGGTCTCTGGCGTCTGTGGCGTCTGTGGTCTCTGGCGTCTGTGGCGTCTGTGGTCTCTGGCGTCTGTGGCGTCTGTGGTCTCTGGCGTCTGTGGCGTCTGTGGTCTCTGGCGTCTGTGGCGTCTGTGGTCTCTGGCGTCTGTGGCGTCTGTGGTCTCTGGCGTCTGTGGCGTCTGTGGTCTCTGGCGTCTGTGGCGTCTGTGGTCTCTGGCGTCTGTGGCGTCTGTGGTCTCTGGTGTCTGTGGCGTCTGTGGTCTCTGGCGTCTGTGGCGTCTGTGGTCTCTGGTGTCTGTGGCGTCTGGGTCTCTGGCGTCTGTGGCGTCTGTGGTCTCTGGTGTCTGTGGCGTCTGTGGTCTCTGGCGTCTGTGGCGTCTGTGGTCTCTGGCGTCTGTGGCGTCTGTGGTCTCTGGCGTCTGTGGCGTCTGTGGTCTCTGGCGTCTGTGGCGTCTGTGGTCTCTGGCGTCTGTGGCGTCTGTGGTCTCTGGCGTCTGTGGCGTCTGTGGTCTCTGGCGTCTGTGGCGTCTGTGGTCTCTGGCGTCTGTGGCGTCTGTGGTCTCTGGCGTCTGTGGCGTCTGTGGTCTCTGGCGTCTGTGGCGTCTGTGGTCTCTGGCGTCTGTGGCTGTGGTCTCTGTGGCGTCTGTGCTCTGGCGTCTGTGGCGTCTGTGGTCTCTGGCGTCTGTGGCGTCTGTGGTCTCTGGCGTCTGTGGCGTCTGTGGTCTCTGGCGTCTGTGGCGTCTGTGGTCTCTGGCGTCTGTGGCGTCTGTGGTCTCTGGCGTCTGTGGCGTCTGTGGTCTCTGGCGTCTGTGGCGTCTGTGGTCTCTGGCGTCTGTGGCGTCTGTGGTCTCTGGCGTCTGTGGCGTCTGTGGTCTCTGGCGTCTGTGGCGTCTGTGGTCTCTGGCGTCTGTGGCGTCTGTGGTCTCTGGCGTCTGTGGCGTCTGTGGTCTCTGGCGTCTGTGGCGTCTGTGGTCTCTGGCGTCTGTGGCGTCTGTGGTCTCTGGCGTCTGTGGCGTCTGTGGTCTCTGGTGTCTGTGGCGTCTGTGGTCTCTGGCGTCTGTGGCGTCTGTGGTCTCTGGCGTCTGTGGCGTCTGTGGTCTCTGGCGTCTGTGGCGTCTGTGGTCTCTGGCGTCTGTGGCGTCTGTGGTCTCTGGCGTCTGTGGCGTCTGTGGTCTCTGGCGTCTGTGGCGTCTGTGGTCTCTGGCGTCTGTGGCGTCTGTGGTCTCTGGCGTCTGTGGCGTCTGGGCTGTGGTCTGGCTCTGGTGTCTGTGGCGTCTGTGGTCTCTGGCGTCTGTGGCGTCTGTGGTCTCTGGCGTCTGTGGCGTCTGTGGTCTCTGGGTCTGTGGCGTCTGTGGTCTCTGGTGTCTGTGGCGTCTGTGGTCTCTCTGTGCGTCTGTGGCTCTGTCTGTGGTCTCTGGCGTCTGTGGCGTCTGTGGTCTCTGGGTGGCTCGTGGTCTCTGGCGTCTGTGGCGTCTGTGGTCTCTGGCGTCTGTGGCGTGGTCTGTGTCTCTGGCGTCTGTGGCGTCTGTGGTCTCTGGCGTCTGTGGCGTCTGTGGTCTCTGGCGTCTGTGGCGTCTGTGGTCTCTGGCGTCTGTGGCGTCTGTGGTCTCTGGCGTCTGTGGCGTCTGTGGTCTCTGGTGTCTGTGGCGTCTGTGGTCTCTGGCGTCTGTGGCGTCTGTGGTCTCTGGCGTCTGTGGCGTCTGTGGTCTCTGGCGTCTGTGGCGTCTGTGGTCTCTGGCGTCTGTGGCGTCTGTGGTCTCTGGCGTCTGTGGCGTCTGTGGTCTCTGGCGTCTGTGGCGTCTGTGGTCTCTGGCGTCTGTGGCGTCTGTGGTCTCTGGCGTCTGTGGCGTGTGGTCTCTGGGTCTGTGGCGTCTGTGTCTCTGGCGTCTGTGGCGTCTGTGGTCTCTGGTGTCTGTGGCGTCTGTGGTCTCTGGTGTCTGTGGCGTCTGTGGTCTCTGGCGTCTGTGGCGTCTGTGGTCTCTGGTGTCTGTGGCGTCTGTGGTCTCTGGCGTCTGTGGCGTCTGTGGTCTCTGGTGTCTGTGGCGTCTGTGGTCTCTGGCGTCTGTGGCGTCTGTGGTCTCTGGCGTCTGTGGCGTCTGTGGTCTCTGGTGTCTGTGGCGTCTGTGGTCTCTGGTGTCTGTGGCGTCTGTGGTCTCTGGCGTCTGTGGCGTCTGTGGTCTCTGGTGTCTGTGGCGTCTGTGGTCTCTGGCGTCTGTGGCGTCTGTGGTCTCTGGTGTCTGTGGCGTCTGTGGTCTCTGGCGTCTGTGGCGTCTGTGGTCTCTGGCGTCTGTGGCGTCTGTGGTCTCTGGCGTCTGTGGCGTCTGTGGTCTCTGGCGTCTGTGGCGTCTGTGGTCTCTGGCGTCTGTGGCGTCTGTGGTCTCTGGCGTCTGTGGCGTCTGTGGTCTCTGGCGTCTGTGGCGTCTGTGGTCTCTGGCGTCTGTGGCGTCTGTGGTCTCTGGCGTCTGTGGCGTCTGTGGTCTCTGGTGTCTGTGGCGTCTGTGGTCTCTGGCGTCTGTGGCGTCTGTGGTCTCTGGCGTCTGTGGCGTCTGTGGTCTCTGGCGTCTGTGGCGTCTGTGGTCTCTGGCGTCTTGGCGTCTGTGGTCTCTGGCGTCTGTGGCGTCTGTGGTCTCTGGCGTCTGTGGCGTCTGTGGTCTCTGGCGTCTGTGGCGTCTGTGGTCTCTGGTGTCTGTGGCGTCTGTGGTCTCTGGTGTCTGTGGCGTCTGTGGTCTCTGGCGTCTGTGGCGTCTGTGGTCTCTGGCGTCTGTGGCGTCTGTGGTCTCTGGCGTCTGTGGCGTCTGTGGTCTCTGGTGTCTGTGGCGTCTGTGGTCTCTGGTGTCTGTGGCGTCTGTGGTCTCTGGCGTCTGTGGCGTCTGTGGTCTCTGGTGTCTGTGGCGTCTGTGGTCTCTGGCGTCTGTGGCGTCTGTGGTCTCTGGCGTCTGTGGCGTCTGTGGTCTCTGGCGTCTGTGGCGTCTGTGGTCTCTGGCGTCTGTGGCGTCTGTGGTCTCTGGCGTCTGTGGCGTCTGTGGTCTCTGGCGTCTGTGGCGTCTGTGGTCTCTGGCGTCTGTGGCGTCTGTGGTCTCTGGCGTCTGTGGCGTCTGTGGTCTCTGGCGTCTGTGGCGTCTGTGGTCTCTGGCGTCTGTGGCGTCTGTGGTCTCTGGTGTCTGTGGCGTCTGTGGTCTCTGGCGTCTGTGGCGTCTGTGGTCTCTGGTGTCTGTGGCGTCTGTGGTCTCTGGCGTCTGTGGCGTCTGTGGTCTCTGGTGTCTGTGGCTCTGGCGTCTGTGGCTCTGTGGTCTCTGGCGTCTGTGGCGTCTGTGGTCTCTGGTCTGTGGCGTCTGTGGTCTCTGGTGTCTGTGGCGTCTGTGGTCTCTGGGTCTGTGGCGTCTGTGGTCTCTGGCGTCTGTGGCGTCTGTGGTCTCTGGCGTCTGTGGCGTCTGTGGTCTCTGGGTCTGTGGCGTCTGTGGGCGTCTGTGGCGTCTGTGGTCTCTGGCGTCTGTGGCGTCTGTGGTCTCTGGTGTCTGTGGCGTCTGTGGTCTCTGGGCGTCTGTGGTCTTGGTCTGTGGCGTCTGTGGTCTCTGGCGTCTGTGGCGTCTGTGGTCTCTGGCGTCTGTGGCGTCTGTGGTCTCTGGCGTCTGTGGCGTCTGTGGTCTCTGGCGTCTGTGGCGTCTGTGGTCTCTGGCGTCTGTGGCGTCTGTGGTCTCTGGCGTCTGTGGCGTCTGTGGTCTCTGGCGTCTGTGGCGTCTGTGGTCTCTGGCGTCTGTGGCGTCTGTGGTCTCTGGCGTCTGTGGCGTCTGTGGTCTCTGGCGTCTGTGGCGTCTGTGGTCTCTGGCGTCTGTGGCGTCTGTGGTCTCTGGCGTCTGTGGCGTCTGTGGTCTCTGGCGTCTGTGGCGTCTGTGGTCTCTGGCGTCTGTGGCGTCTGTGGTCTCTGGCGTCTGTGGCGTCTGTGGTCTCTGGCGTCTGTGGCGTCTGTGGTCTCTGGCGTCTGTGGCGTCTGTGGTCTCTGGCGTCTGTGGCGTCTGTGGTCTCTGGCGTCTGTGGTCTCTGGCGTCTGTGCGTCTGTGGTCTCTGGCGTCTGTGGCGTCTGTGGTCTCTGGCGTCTGTGGCGTCTGTGGTCTCTGGCGTCTGTGGCGTCTGTGGTCTCTGGCGTCTGTGGCGTCTGTGGTCTCTGGCGTCTGTGGCGTCTGTGGTCTCTGGCGTCTGTGGCGTCTGTGGTCTCTGGCGTCTGTGGCGTCTGTGGTCTCTGGCGTCTGTGGCGTCTGTGGTCTCTGGTGTCTGTGGCGTCTGTGGTCTCTGGTGTCTGTGGCGTCTGTGGTCTCTGGCGTCTGTGGCGTCTGTGGTCTCTGGCGTCTGTGGCGTCTGTGGTCTCTGCGTCTGTGGCGTCTGGGTCTCTGGCGTCTGTGGCGTCTGTGGTCTCTGGCGTCTGTGGCGTCTGTGGTCTCTGGCGTCTGTGGCGTCTGTGGTCTCTGGCGTCTGTGGCGTCTGTGGTCTCTGGTGTCTGTGGCGTCTGTGGTCTCTGGTGTCTGTGGCGTCTGTGGTCTCTGGTGTCTGTGGCGTCTGTGGTCTCTGGCGTCTGTGGCGTCTGTGGTCTCTGGCGTCTGTGGCGTCTGTGGTCTCTGGCGTCTGTGGCGTCTGTGGTCTCTGGTGTCTGTGGCGTCTGTGGTCTCTGGTGTCTGTGGCGTCTGTGGTCTCTGGCGTCTGTGGCGTCTGTGGTCTCTGGTGTCTGTGGCGTCTGTGGTCTCTGGCGTCTGTGGCGTCTGTGGTCTCTGGCGTCTGTGGCGTCTGTGGTCTCTGGCGTCTGTGGCGTCTGTGGTCTCTGGCGTCTGTGGCGTCTGTGGTCTCTGGCGTCTGTGGCGTCTGTGGTCTCTGGCGTCTGTGGCGTCTGTGGTCTCTGGCGTCTGTGGCGTCTGTGGTCTCTGGTGTCTGTGGCGTCTGTGGTCTCTGGCGTCTGTGGCGTCTGTGGTCTCTGGTGTCTGTGGCGTCTGTGGTCTCTGGCGTCTGTGGCGTCTGTGGTCTCTGGTGTCTGTGGCGTCTGTGGTCTCTGGCGTCTGTGGCGTCTGTGGTCTCTGGCGTCTGTGGCGTCTGTGGTCTCTGGTGTCTGTGGCGTCTGTGGTCTCTGGTGTCTGTGGCGTCTGTGGTCTCTGGCGTCTGTGGCGTCTGTGGTCTCTGGTGTCTGTGGCGTCTGTGGTCTCTGGCGTCTGTGGCGTCTGTGGTCTCTGGTGTCTGTGGCGTCTGTGGTCTCTGGCGTCTGTGGCGTCTGTGGTCTCTGGCGTCTGTGGCGTCTGTGGTCTCTGGCGTCTGTGGCGTCTGTGGTCTCTGGCGTCTGTGGCGTCTGTGGTCTCTGGCGTCTGTGGCGTCTGTGGTCTCTGGCGTCTGTGGCGTCTGTGGCTTGTAATGCATGTGCCCTTTCCCTGCTGCAGATGGGACGTCCCGCGCAGAGGAGCCCAGCCGAGGTAAGCGCTCGCTCCCTGCCTCAGATCGTCTCTTTAGCGCTCTCTCTCTCACGGGTCTGTCTGTGTCTGTGTCTGTGGACGCCGGGCTGTGTGTCTGTGGACGCCGGGCTGTGTGTCTGTGGACGCCGGGCTGTGTGTCTGTGGACGCCGGGCTGTGTGTCTGTGGACGCCGGGCTGTGTGTCTGTGGACGCCGGGCTGTGTGTCTGTGGACGCCGGGCTGTGTGTCTGTGGACGCCGGGCTGTGTGTCTGTGGACGCCGGGCTGTGTGTCTGTGGACGCCGGGCTGTGTGTCTGTGGACGCCGGGCTGTGTGTCTGTGGACGCCGGGCTGTGTGTCTGTGGACGCCGGGCTGTGTGTCTGTGGACGCCGGGCTGTGTGTCTGTGGACGCCGGGCTGTGTGTCTGTGGACGCCGGGCTGTGTGTCTGTGGACGCCGGGCTGTGTGTCTGTGGACGCCGGGCTGTGTGTCTGTGGACGCCGGGCTGTGTGTCTGTGGACGCCGGGCTGTGTGTCTGTGGACGCCGGGCTGTGTGTCTGTGGACGCCGGGCTGTGTGTCTGTGGACGCCGGGCTGTGTGTCTGTGGACGCCGGGCTCACGGGCTGTGTGTCTGTGCCTGTGGACGCCGGGCTGACGGGGGTGTGTCTGTGTCTGTGTCTGTGGACGCCGGGCTGTGTGTCTGTGGGCGCCGGGCTGACGGGGGTGTGTCTGTGTCTGTGTCTGTGGACGCCGGGCTGACGGGGGTGTGTCTGTGTCTGTGTCTGTGGACGCCGGGCTGTGTGTCTGTGGACGCCGGGCTGACGGGGGTGTGTCTGTGTCTGTGTCTGTGGACGCCGGGCTGACGGGGGTGTGTCTGTGTCTGTGTCTGTGGACGCCGGGCTGACGGGGGTGTGTCTGTGGACGCCGGGCTGTGTGTCTGTGGACGCCGGGCTGTGTGTCTGTGGACGCCGGGCTCACGGGCTGTGTGTCTGTGGACGCCGGGCTCACGGGCTGTGTGTCTGTGGACGCCGGGCTGTGTGTCTGTGGACGCCGGGCTCACGGGGCTGTGTGTCTGTGGACGCCGGGCTGACGGGGGTGTGTCTGTGGACGCCGGGCTCACGGGGCTGTGTGTCTGTGGACGCCGGGCTCACGGGGGTGTGTCTGTGGACGCCGGGCTGTGTGTCTGTGGACGCCGGGCTGACGGGGGTGTGTCTGTGGACGCCGGGCTGACGGGGGTGTGTCTGTGGACGCCGGGCTGACGGGGGTGTGTCTGTGGACGCCGGGCTGACGGGGGTGTGTCTGTGGACGCCGGGCTGACGGGGGTGTGTCTGTGGACGCCGGGCTGACGGGGGTGTGTCTGTGGACGCCGGGCTGTGTGTCTGTGGACGCCGGGCTGACGGGGGTGTGTCTGTGGACGCCGGGCTGACGGGGGTGTGTCTGTGGACGCCGGGCTGACGGGGGTGTGTCTGTGGACGCCGGGCTGTGTGTCTGTGGACGCCGGGCTGTGTGTCTGTGGACGCCGGGCTGACGGGGGTGTGTCTGTGTCTGTGGACGCCGGGCTGACGGGGGTGTGTCTGTGTCTGTGGACGCCGGGCTGACGGGGGTGTGTCTGTGGACGCCGGGCTGACGGGGGTGTGTCTGTGGACGCCGGGCTGACGGGGGTGTGTCTGTGGACGCCGGGCTGTGTGTCTGTGGACGCCGGGCTGACGGGGGTGTGTCTGTGTCTGTGTCTGTGGACGCCGGGCTGACGGGGGTGTGTCTGTGGACGCCGGGCTGACGGGGGTGTGTCTGTGGACGCCGGGCTGACGGGGGTGTGTCTGTGGACGCCGGGCTGACGGGGGTGTGTCTGTGGACGCCGGGCTGACGGGGGTGTGTCTGTGGACGCCGGGCTGACGGGGGTGTGTCTGTGGACGCCGGGCTGACGGGGGTGTGTCTGTGGACGCCGGGCTGACGGGGGTGTGTCTGTGGACGCCGGGCTGTGTGTCTGTGGACGCCGGGCTGACGGGGGTGTGTCTGTGGACGCCGGGCTGACGGGGGTGTGTCTGTGGACGCCGGGCTGTGTGTCTGTGGACGCCGGGCTGACGGGGGTGTGTCTGTGGACGCCGGGCTGTGTGTCTGTGGACGCCGGGCTGTGTGTCTGTGGACGCCGGGCTGACGGGGGTGTGTCTGTGTCTGTGTCTGTGGACGCCGGGCTGTGTGTCTGTGGACGCCGGGCTGACGGGGGTGTGTCTGTGTCTGTGGACGCCGGGCTGACGGGGGTGTGTCTGTGTCTGTGGACGCCGGGCTGACGGGGGTGTGTCTGTGGACGCCGGGCTGACGGGGGTGTGTCTGTGGATGCCGGGCTGACGGGGGTGTGTCTGTGGACGCCGGGCTGACGGGGGTGTGTCTGTGGATGCCGGGCTGACGGGGGTGTGTCTGTGGACGCCGGGCTGACGGGGGTGTGTCTGTGGACGCCGGGCTGACGGGGGTGTGTCTGTGGACGCCGGGCTGTGTGTCTGTGGACGCCGGGCTGACGGGGGTGTGTCTGTGGACGCCGGGCTGTGTGTCTGTGGACGCCGGGCTGACGGGGGTGTGTCTGTGGACGCCGGGCTGTGTGTCTGTGGACGCCGGGCTCACGGGGGTGTGTCTGTGGACGCAGGAGAATGGAGCGAGGCCCTGTACCCGCTGCTGACCACTCTGACGGACTGCGTGGACATGATGAGTGAGGGCGCGCTGCAGTCGCTGGTGTTCCTCCTCATGCAGGACAGCGCGCCCACCATCGCCCAGGACACGGCGCTGCAGTACCGCCGCGACGTGGTCTTCTGCCAGACGGTCAGTCCCACCGCGGCACACACACTTCTGTGGTTATGTCTGTTTAACGCAGAGATTGGCTGACCCTGATTTGAACTGTCTTTTCCTAAAGCAAAAAGACCTGGTTTCCCCATGTTCCTTTGTTAGTCCAAAGTGCATGGGTGAGTTAATGATAGGTAATCTGGGGGGGGATTCTGCTAATTCTGAAGAAGGAGGGGGACCCAGAGAGCCTTCTGCCTTATCTCAAAGAAGGGGAGTGGTAGTGTGTGTGAATGATTCTGTTTAAGGTACGGCAGACAGAGGGGAAATGATGGAAGAGGCTGGGCCCAAGTCCTGCCTGATACGACACGCCCCCTGCTCCCTGAACATCGACTGAATGCTCTGGCTTGGGAAGAGTCAGAAGGATCAGCCGAGGGCCAGAGAAAGGGACATATTAGTTTTAGGAGCACTTTTTGTTGAATATTCTGTATCTGATTGTAAAGATAATTAAATGCAGATGTTAAACGTGGAGATCTCTTGTCTCGCTCTTGCATCGACTTTGGATACGTCAGTCAAAGGGAATTATTGACTTCATTTTGGTGAATCCCGACGTGATCGGGGCAGGAGCGGGACAGAGATGAGCTCAGTTATAGAGACTGGATTTGTGGGTTTGGAAAAATCTCTCTGCTCTTCAAAAAGGTCGCTTCTAAGGTAAGCGGATCACAGTTTTGGAAATCTGCACATTGTTTTAAATAGAAGAGAGAGAGATTTTGGCTCGACAGATTGCAGCGTGGCCAGACGACCGCCGTGACGGGGCGTTCTATCGGACGCGATAGAACAATAGTCAGGTTTAGACGTTTTAACCTTGGGGGAAGCATGGGTCCCTCCAAAAAAAAACAGAACATAGATGTTGAAAAGAGAGCCACAGGATTTAGAAGTGCAAAAGAGGCACACCTTCGTGCAGAGAGGCACAAGCATATTAGTGAAAAATAGGAATAGAATTAGAGAAATAGGGATAGTTAGGGTCAGAAGTGATAGGATAATAAAAACTCCATATCCCCCGGGGGGCGGGAAAAAAAGGGTACATTTAAACAGAAAAAAGCCAAGTATTTAAAATGTGGATTCTGATAATAATGATCTGATTAATGAGAAAAAAGGGAGCCACTTGGCTGTAACTATGAGTTTTCATGTGAAGAAATGACAAAAGATCAGTCTGGGAGTTTTTCTCTTGTATTCTGATGTAATGTTTCGATAGTTACAGAGAATCAGGAAAAAAAAAAGATTCTGCTGGAACCCTCGATACATTAATCAGGTAGCAAATTGTAATGTTTTCCATTACTGACGTATTTAAATAAATGTAAAGTGTCGTTTGACGTGAGAGAACTCTCACCACTGATAAAACATTGTCACGATAAAAAACGAGGAAAATGTAGCAAATTTTAAAGGGGATGTTCATGAATTTGGTGTATTTCAGTCGTACATGTACTCCTCTGTTTGAGAAACCACACAGCCCCTCCTTCTCCCTCCTGGCTCCCTCTCTGAAAAATGCTTGAGGCATACAAGCCACTCAGCCCCCCCCTCCCTCTTTCTGTCTGCTCTCTCTCTCTCTCCCTCTCTCCAGTTAAGAAAGAGGCATACCAAATATTTTTTGTAGAAAATTACATTTATACACACGATAATGTTACTGACATGGAGTCATATGATCACAGAACTTTGAGTTAGATTATAAAGAGGCATTGTTTTATTCTTTTGACCATCTCCAAACGTCTAGACAAGTTATTAAACATGTTTCCCAACGTTTTGGTGATATAGAATTTAAACTGATCTTAAAGAACAGTATACTTTTGGAAAAATAGGGCTTAGGATAGCAGTTGAATACAGATTTGGTTTTCAGAATTTAATGTTTAAAATGTTAATAGTAATTATTTCATAGGTTTACTTAGATTCGTAATTAATCATTGGTTTTGTATTGTATTAACACACTTGTTTGTGTTTCTTGTTTGTCTGTTTTTTCTGAGAAAACTTCTGTCTGTTTCATTGGCCGATCGCCAAAATCGTCCCTGCCACAAACCACAACCGAGCATCATCATCATCATCAGCGTCTCCCCCTCTCCCTGCGGGTCGCAGGGGGCAGCATCGGCTGCAGCAGCTAACAGGAACTCTCGAAGAAGACTCCTCCTGCCTGTGAGGAGGCAAAGAAAAGACCGCAGACTTGTTCACAAACTGAGTGTTGTCCCATCTACGGAACAGAAGGTGGCGGTAATGCGAAAAATAGGCCGCCAACCGCCGGAAAACCTAACAAGAAGAAGAAGGACACACTGGTGTGCGTCAAAAAATGAGACAAAGAAAGACATGAGAAAAGTTGTCGAAAGAAGAAGAAAATGATTGAAAAGAAAAAGACATTGCAAGGAGAAGAAAGTTATTGAAAGAAGAAGAAAGAAAGTGATTATTGAAAGAAGAAGAGAGAAAGTGATTATTGAAAGAAGAAGAGAGAAAGTGATTATTGAAAGAAGAAGAGAGAAAGTGATTATTGAAAGAAGAAGAAAGAAAGTGATTGTTTAAAGAAGAAGGAAAAAAGGCATTGAGGCAAAGACATTGGACACTGAGACAAAAGACATTGAAAGACGCCATAAGAGGATGTGGCCAGGCTAAATGAGACAGACAGAAGGTAAATATATACAGACAAACAAACGCACAGAGACATGTGGAATTTAAGTCATATTTATACATTTAGCTAGGTCATTCGTTCATAACACTACATTTAGCTGCATGAAAGAATACAGGACAATCGTTAAAATTAATTAGACTCTTGCTTTAGCATGAGACACAAGGAGATTAGAACAGCAGTATATTTGTGCATGATTTAGATGAGCTTTATTATTTAAACTATTATTGTTATTTAAAGTTATAGTCGCGGAGAAGTTTAGAATTATTGATTTTAACTGCATGATCTTGGTAATATGGATATTTAACGCAATTTTTCAACCTCTGAACCGTGGCTCGTTAATCATTTAAAAACAGTCACATGCACAGTTGAAACTGGTGCTAGAAAGAGAACTGCAGCTTTTAATGGACGCTGCATTTAGTACAAAATGGTTTGTTCAGACAATTAAAGTTTGAAAAATGATTTAAAGCATTTCTAAATTTTGGCTAAAGGTGATTTTGGATCATTTCTGATAACACATTGACGCAACACTGTTCATTGGTTGAAAACACGGATGTAGGGACATTTTAGGAAATCTTTTATGACATGTTTCTCTTCCAAATAGCTAAATTAGAAACAATTAGAACAGTCATGTCTTTAATATAACTGTTGGAAGTTTATTTGAGACATGATTGGTGCAAGTACGACAACACACATACAGTAGGACAATGGTCTTTTCTCCACATGAACGTGAAACAAAGGTGAAGTATTAAAGTTTGAAACTAATTTACATTTTTAATGAATCCGAACTGGCTTTTAAAAAAAAAAAAGGGAAAAACATTTATTGCACGTGCATGAGTTTTTTTTAAGTAACACGAGCTCATTAAAAATATAGGGGACACAGTCTGTGAGAAGCCCGAGTACAGACCACGTGGTTTAAACACTAAAGTTTGAAATGGATCCTTGTAGGAAAAATCTCTTAAAGCTCTGCATGTTCTGCAGGCTCTGAAAGTTGCAACTATAAAATAGCTCATGAGACAATTGTAATTGGACATGGAAGAATATAACAAAGTTAAAATTACAGGCCTTCTGTGTTGTCTATATGTTTGTGTGTGTTATATGTTTGTGTGTGTTATATGTTTGTGTATGTTATATGTTTGTGTGTGTTATATGTTTGTGTGTGTTATATGTTTGTGTGTGTTATATGTTTGTGTGTGTTATATGTTTGTGTGTGTTATATGTTTGTGTATGTTATATGTTTGTGCGTCATGTCAAGTACACTACGTTGACCTTAACAAACTGGACCAATATACTAACGTGGGGAGGCGGCCTGTGTGAGTGATATGAGTGTGATGTGAAATGAGGAGTGAACGAGGAGTGCTGAACGGAGAATGGAATGACAAAAGTTTTCTGTAATGTTTTAATGTGATCATGGAATAATTATTTTTTGTCAACAGCATACGGTGTAAGTACTAGAGATTCAAAGATAACAAGCTTTATTGAACAGGTGTAAAAGTGAGAGTACTCTGGGATGAGTACTCTGAGAAAGTACTCTGAGAAAGTACTCTGAGATGAAATACCTTGCTGAAGGTACTGGGAGCCCCCCAGTCTGCTGTTTGTCCTGACAGTGATTCGGTCCAACCGCAGTGAGCTGTCGTTGGTTGAAGGACAACTTTGGTTTGTAATTCACATTTAGGGGAGTATAAAATTAGAAACATACATTTTGTTAAGTCTGTATTTGGCTACAGCCTCTGCCCTGATGTCACACACCGTCTGTCAATGCAGTTATGTTTTGCCTAATTGGATTGATTGACAGGCTGCACAATGCGAAGAGAGGGAAGTGGGCGTTTCTTGTGTTCTAATGTTTGTTTTTCAGATGAAAGATAAACTGCACCTGCTTCAGGGATGACAGTAGTATGGATCATAAGGAAATGAGCCTCTACTTTGGCACCAAAGCCCACAATATGAATGGAGGACGATCCGGGAGAAAAGCAACTGGAGAATGATTGGAACAGTAATCTACACACACACACAGATGCATGTTTTATACTTGGCCCATGACCAACAGAGGGGAGTATAGTATTGTATTGTCATAGGTGGTCATGGTCCTTAACCTTCTAAATCATTAGAAAGAAGTGTAAAACATATATTTACAAGACCAAATAAATAATGGAAAGGGCAGCCTAAAAAGCAAAATGGGAGAATTATTAAGTAATTTTCGGAGTTGCCAAAATGGAATAAAATTCTATATTTGTCCCATAGGGGGTCGTTCTAAATTTAGTGTTGTGCAAATTCAAAAGGAGAAATAATAGCGCTTATAACATCAAACAGATCTACTCTTTAAGATAATAGATCATATAATAATAAGATAATAATAGAATAGAATGAAATAGTCTGGAGCTATAATGTCATTGGATTCGAGGAGCTATAGGTTGAAAGGTCGCTAGGAAGAGGTGTCAGAATAAACAATAGTAATAATAGTTAGACTAGTGAATAATCAAAATAGTTCTATTGTGGAAATAAGTATCAATAAGGTCAAATTGTTCTAATAACTGAAGTAAAAAGGAATCAAATGGAGTCAGATTTTAGATGTTTCTGTTTTCCACATCTGTAGGAACTAGTGCAGATGTGTTTATAGAGAGTAGTATTAAAATGCAGACATAGAACGACAGGCTTTAACACAATTTTAAATCTAAAAATAGCTCAAATATAACATTGCTCTTGATGCAGCCTCTGAGCTGCTCCATTGGAGAACAGGTTAAATGTTATTGTTTATTACAAACAGCTGATGTATTTACACACATATTAAGTTTGGGACAACTCTTTAAACAGTTATAAGCAGCGGACAGAAGCCATGAATGTGCTTTTGTTTATTAAAATAATTAATTTCATAGCCTTATAATCGTGGAAAAACGTTTTAAAATAGTTAAAATCCCTTTCAGGCAACTTGATTTAGATGTATGTCTTTAATATTGGAGAACGACTGTGTTGTTTTTGGAATTGTCTGAAATACAATACATAGAATAGTGATTTGCAGAACAAGAACCAGCCAATAAAAAATCGTCTATTGCCAATGCTATTGTTACAATCAGAACTCACAAATTGGGAATAGGCTTTGGCTCAAACTACAACCAAGATTTGGAGTCACAATAGAGTATAAAATAGATAGATGCTTTCAAAAATAGAGATTATTTTTAGACAGGGCTAATATCAAGCGGTAAAAGAACCATTTCCTTCATATTATGTCCAAAAGTATTTACTTCAAAGGTAGATGAAGTTCATTACAGTTTATGCACAGGTTTATTAGATACTGTCAAATTCGCTTGTTTCAAACATAGGTGAATGTTAACAATGCCAAAAGTTAATGAGATAGATTAGAAACAACAGAGATTCAAAAACATTTAAAAGCATTTTAATGTATTTGGGTATAGCACAAAAGTAGATATTTAGGTATTTTTTGAGAATTTTAAGAGCAGTCGACTTGTCAATATGGATTAGAAAATCGAATACCATGGTAGAGTAACTGACCCCAAAAACCTGCTAAAGGAGATTAGCTCTTGTAAGGATAATACCAATTTGATTAACGATGTACATTTATCCCAAACGGTCTGAGAGGAGGAAGTGACAGCACTTCCTGGTTCAACAAAATGTGTTTGGAAAAATGAGCAAAGCCCCGCAAAATGGCCCAAAGCCACTGATAATGAAAGCAAACCACAGTATAGATAGATTTAGTAGATAAAAACATATGTTTAAGAATATGGCTCAATAAAAGCAAAGATGCAAACATATTTGTAAATAGATTAGAATAGTTTAAACTATAGTGAATAGTTTTAGTGCATACATTACAGACGAGGTTGAAGAAGAATCAGAATGACAGCAGTGGTCATCAAAGAGTTTAGTGAAGGAATGTTTCGAATGTGGTTGTGTGTTGTTTGTCTTTCTGTATTGGCTCTTCACAGATATCAAGCCGGAACTAAGCACAAGTATTGATGATAAACGACGATGTGGATTGTGACCTAATTTTTTAATCAGGTCAAAAGAGGGAAACTGTTGTATATTTTAACTATGCAGATGTGAATATTGGCTGACCCTGATTTGAACTGTCTTTTCCTAAAGCAAAAAGACCTGGTTTCCCCATGTTCCTTTGTTAGTCCAAAGTGCATGGGTGAGTTAATGATAGGTAATCTGGGGGGGGATTCTGCTAATTCTGAAGAAGGAGGGGGACCCAGAGAGCCTTCTGCCTTATCTCAAAGAAGTAATAAATTTGGGGAGTGGTAGTGTGTGTGAATGATTCTGTTTAAGGTACGGCAGACAGAGGGGAAATGATGGAAGAGGCTGGGCCCAAGTCCTGCCTGATACGACACGCCCCCTGCTCCCTGAACATCGACTGAATGCTCTGGCTTGGGAAGAGTCAGAAGGATCAGCCGAGGGCCAGAGAAAGGGACATATTAGTTTTAGGAGCACTTTTTGTTGAATATTCTGTATCTGATTGTAAAGATAATTAAATGCAGATGTTAAACGTGGAGATCTCTTGTCTCGCTCTTGCATCGACTTTGGATACGTCAGTCAAAGGGAATTATTGACTTCACTTCTCATATGAACAGAGTGTACGTTTATGTTTACTACTCATTAATTACTCTTTTCCCAAACAGTATTATAAAGTAGGGACTGTTCCTCATTTCCTAATGTCCGTCCGTCCGTCCGTCCGTTTCCTTCCGCTTCATCCGTTGCCGGGTCGCGGGGGCAGCAGTCTAAGCAGAGACGCCCAGACTTCCCTATCCACACACACTTCCTCCAGCTCGTCCGGGGGGACCCCAAGGCGTTCCCAGGCCAGCTGAGAGACATAGTCCCTCCAGCGTGTCCTGGGTCTTCCCCGGGGCCTCCTGCCGGTGGGACGTGCCCAGAACACCTCCCCAGGGAGGCGTCCAGGAGGCATCCGGAATAGATGCTCGAGCCACCTCAACTGGTTCCTCTCGACGTGGAGTAGCAGCGGCTCTACTCCGAGCTCCTCCCGTGTGACTGAGCTCCTCACCCTATCTCTAAGGGAGCGCCCAGCCACTCTGCGGAGGAAGCTCATTTCGACCGCTTATTTCCTAATGATGACCTAATAATCTGTACATAAAATAAAATGGGAACAACTCATTAACAAATGTTTAACAACATTTACTAAGGCCAACTATTCATTAATAACTTTGTTTTCAAACATATCATGTACATTGGCCCAAGATCCTATTTGACTCTTCTTTCCACCTTTGTTGCTCTTTAACACTCACTTTCTCCTCCGTCAGCCAGCAGCTGCTCTATCGCCACCATACTGAAAGAAAATAATAATAAATATATACATGTATATGTAATAAATAGAGAAAAACAGTCTGAAGTTGTGCATTCAAAAAACATAATATAAACATGTAACACTGTCAAGGTGCTGCAGAACAAATACAAGGCTAATGCTAATGTTAGCGGTAGCATGTAACAGCGCTAGCATACGGCGCTAGCATTCCGGGTTAAACACAACCCCGGAACAATCCAAATGGGAAAAAAATAACATGCAAGCCTGCTAACAGGCAAACAACACAAACTTACAGGCTGTGCTGGCTCAAACACAGCTTTGAGGTCTGAAACTGGAGCTGAACCATGTCTTCACAGCGTTCACATGGTTTTATACCAAGTCAGAACACAGAAGCTCTCCTCAGCGTCGCCATGGAGACAGTAGAAAAGTCTGCTCCCACCTTCAGACCAAAACATCCAGTGGAAAATCCCCGACTTCTACAGACTGTTGTAAGGAGCAGCTCAGTCTGAGCACAACACTGAAGTCTGATCAAAGATCCACAGGTGAATAAAAGAGGTTTAAAGTCTGTTCTTCATCTGTGTCTCTGCTGCGTCTCTTTACAGCTGCGCTCTCTCAGGGGGCGGGGCCTCACACATACACTGTATGTGTGAGGCCCATGTAAGGGGTCATAGCGAACTATCTGAATGACGTCACTAAGACACGCCCCCGCCGCCTGTCAACTCCCGCCCACATGTTTCGGACAAACACTGCCGAAATGAATCAAATACCACTTGTCACTTTAGACGAAAATGATATACCAGGAGCAAAATTCCACCATCAAACCATCAGGGATCATAGTGTAGACCAATTAAAACGTTGGCTTGAATGTCGTGGTCTGTAACTGGTAGAATGTTTGATTTGATAAAAAGGTAATGTTGTGGTGCGTAAGGAGCGGAGTCTGAGGCGGTGTGTCAAACAGCGGTGACAAACGTACACGTTTTAATGCCATAAAACAGCCAGTGGTAACAAAACTCACACAACCAAAAACATTTCTCCCAGTCAGAAAAACTGTGCAACGGTTTAACTCGTCCCCCCGGAACCCCACCAGAGTAACCACAGTTCCATGGGTGAATTATGTAAACCAACACACAAGCCCCCCCAGAATTCAACCATAGTCAAAATCCCCACTCCGGAATGGAATGATGGCCCGACCACTCCGAGTACAAGTGGCAGGGGCTGAGGGGAGGGAAGCGGGGGACGCAGCCGGCACCGTCCCGGTCGAAGGAACTCCCGACTGACCAGGGGGACAAAGTACTGGGGGGCGTCCGCGGCGTGGGGCTTGGGCCAACACCAACGGTCTGGAAATGTCCACATGAGCAGGCTTGATCCTATCAACGGAAATAGTTTCAGGTCTACCCCCAATGTCCACGACCAGGCTCTTGTCCCCATGCTGCAAAACCTTAAACGGGCCGTCATGAGGGGGACGCAGCGGTCCACGGTGGGCGTCGTGGCGGACGAAAACAAACAACGCAGAGCGGAGGCCAGCGGGCATCCGGGACTCAGGGGAGCAGTGCTGCGACCTAGGAACAGGCGCAAACCCCATGGCCACCTCCCGCAGGGAGGACCGCTGTTCAGTAGCAGACCAAGGTCTCGTAGCATCCGGTATAAAATCCCCAGGCACCCGCAAAGCCTGGCCGTAAACAAGCTCGGCAGACGAGGACTGCAGATCCTCCTTGGGGGCGGTCCTAAGGCCAAGCATGAACCAGGGCAGTTTGTCCACCCAGTTGCCGTCCGTCAGGCTGGCCCGAAGGGCAGCCTTTATAGAGCGGTGGAATCGTTCACACAGTCCGTTAGCCTGGGGGTGGTATGCGGTGGTGCGGTGCAACTTGACACCCAAACCCCCCGCCACAGCATTCCAGATCTCCGAGGTAAACTGCGCACCCCGTCAGAGGATAGATCAGAGGGCGTACCGAAACGCAAAACCCATGTGCCAATGAACGCCCGAGCCACATCGGCAGACGTGATAGAGGCGAGGGTAATAGCCCTCAGGCCAGCGCGTCGTCCTGTCTACCATCGTGAGGAGGTAAGTGAAACCACGTGAAGGGGGAAGCGGCCCCACCAGGTCGATGTTAACGTGGTCAAACCTCCTCTCCGGAACAACAAAAGGTTCTAATGGGGCCTTGGTATGGCGGTGCACCTTAGCACGCTGACAGGCCACACAAGAATCAACCCAGCATCTGCGATACAAGCCTAACAGATGCCTTTCTGCCAGGATGGGACAGGCCATGTATAGTCTCAAAAACAGACCGCTACCAGCTGGCGGGGACCAGAGGCCTGGGCTGGCCGGTAGAGAGGTCACACCACAACCTGACCCCAGAAGCGCCGACCGCGACCTTTCCCAGCTGCAGTCCAGTGTCCGAGTCCTTGAGGGACTGAAGGGTGCGGTCTGCGGCCTGGTCTGCACCCATACGCGCGTAGTCTAGTCCGAGCTGGACCGCACCAACGATCGCCCTGGAAAGACAATCCGCAACCACATTGGATTTGCCGGCAATGTGTTGTATGTCCGTGGTATACACATGGAGAACGTAAGGGGCTTGTGGTCAACAAAAACCGTAAACTCACGGCCCTCCAGGACGAAGCGGAAGTGGCGGATTGCCAACCAAACAGCGAGCAGCTCTCTGTCAAAGGTGCTGTATTTACGCTCCCTGGGGACAAGCTGGCGGCTGAAAAAGGCGAGCGGTTGCCAGGTACCCTCGACTGATGCATCATCTCAAGAAATGCTGCACACGTCGTTTATTTTTTCAGTGATTTCATATTAGTGGGGTCTAGTCGAGTCGGCCAGACCATGTGAGGAATACAGAGCTCCCCCAGCCTTAGATAAGTCAGAGATCATTGACTTTTTCCTGGGCTCTGGAGTGAAGGACGAGGAGCCATAAAGCAGGCAGTTGTGTTTACTTAGTCTCACATAGGAAGGCCTCTGAGGGTGGGGGCTGTTTGCTAAACCTAATATGGAAGACCAAACCAAGACCAAAGTCCAGACCAGGGACCAGCCCCAGACCATATGACGTCATCGGACATTCTGATAAAACGGTTGGGAGGACATTTTTTGTGAGCAGTCAGCAAAGGGATAGATTTAGGGAATCAAGAACTCCAAGGGTTTTGTATCAATATTTAATTGTAAAGAGAAATAAATGTTCTATTCTTAACTCTTGAATTCTTGGTCTCACTTCTGTATCAAACTTTGAACACGTCAGTCAAATCTTTTTTGACAACAAATGGTGACCCCGACGTGATTTGATACAGAAAGAAGACGCAAGATGAGCTCAGATAGAGAAACTGGGTCTGTGGGTCTGGAGACTCTCTGCTCTGCAAAACAGTCGCTTCTAAAAGGTAAGCAGATCATATTTTTGAAAATCTGCACATTATTTTTTAATAGAAGAGAGAGAGGTCTCAGCCCAGCATGACTGCAGGTGTGGACAGACCCGCCGTGACGGGCGTTTTATCGGACGCGATAAAACAATAGTCAGGTTTTGACGTTTTAGCCTTGAGGGAAAAAGGGTACATTTAATTTAAACAAAAAAGCCAAGTATTTAAACTGTTGGATTCTGACTATTGAATAATAATGATCTGATTAATCAGGATCAGAGAGCCACTTGGCTGTAGATGCGAGTTTCATGTAGAGAAATGACAAAAAGGATCAGTTCTGGGAGTTCTCTTGTATTGTGATGTAATGTTTTAATAGTTACAGAGGTACTACTATTAAAAAGATTGATCCTGCTGTAACTAGTAATACATTATTCATGTAAGCAAATTGTAATGTTTTCCATTACTGACGTATTTAATGATAAGACAGATAGTGTAAAGTGTCGTTTGACGTGAGAAAACTCTCACCACTAATTAAAACATTGTCACAATAAAAAACGAGGAAAATGTAGCAAATTTTAAAGGGGATGTTCATGAATTTGGTGTATTTCAGTCGTACATGTTCTCCTCTGTTTGAGAAGCCACACAGCCCCTCCCCTCTGCTCTTCTCCCTCTCTCCGTTAAGAGAGATGCATACCAAATATATTTTTTGTAGAAAATTACATTTATATACACGATAATGTTACTGTCATAGAGTCATATGTTCACAGAACTTTGAGTTAGATTATAAAGAGGCATTATTTTTATTTTTTGGCCATTTCCAAGGCGTCTGGACAAGTTATTAAACATTTTTTCCCAACATTTTGGTGATATAAAATTTAAAATGATCTTAAAGAGCATTATACTTTTGGAAAAATAGGGCTTAGGATAGCAGCTGAATGCAGATTTGGTTTTCAGAATTTAATGTTTAAAATGTTAATATTAATTATTTCATAGGTTTATTTAGATTTGTAATTAATCATTGGTTTTGTATAGTTGTTAACGCTGGTTCAGCCACGGTTTCTCCTTCGATGATAAATGGACACTACAAATTCTGCTTAGATATATTAAAAAGGTTTAATATATATAAAAGACAGAATACAGGATACAGGATACAGACAAATGTAGCAGACTGGTTCTCCAATCTGGGCCCTCTCCCTGGCAAGCCAAAGCAAAAGACACTGCTTCAGGAACAGGCTATCAATGATAAGCACACAGTCACATGACCATGATAATTGAAGACATATGTCCCAACATCCTTAGGTGAAGACAATACCTTCTCTGTTTCAGGACAAACACATAGCCCCTTTCAGAGTAAGCCTGAGGCTACTAAAAAACAGATGTTCTCTGCGCTTTTCTTAATTTAACTTCCTGTGCTTAATGGCTGGGGGATGATTCACACATTCTTCACTCACCAGACTAGCTACTAGATCCATACTAGACTAAACGTTACATTTATTAATATGATAATAACACAATAACATACTCCATTGACATAATTCCCCCCTATTCATAATATATAAATGTAAAGTTTCAACATCCAGCATTACATCTCTTCTCAGTTTTCTGCAATACCTTCATAACAAACTTACATAGAAATATCAAAATCATCATTTACATTTGTGTGAGCTAACAACGCTTGACATTGATCCGAAAACAATGTGTCTGCAACTGCAGTGTTTATCATTCTGTTGGTTAAAGACTTAGCACATGGCAACAAACAAGTGACAAATATGCAAAATAAAACCAAAATCATTATTGCAGGTGTCGCTATTTTCAATATCAGTTGCCACCATGCTCCAGTAGAAAACCATGACAATAAGTCCCAATTCATGTTGTCATTGTCTCGCTCACTTAGCATCTCAGTTTTAAGACTTTTTAGTCGATCCAAAATTAGTGAATAATTTTGAGTTGGATGATGGAATGAACGTACAACAATGATCCTTAATTAACTGACACACACCCCCAGTTTCAGATAAAACAAAATCTAATGCTACTCGATTCTGCATGATCATTTGACGCATAGCCTCCTTCTCTGGATCTCCCCTGATTTGTTCAGTGAGGTCCATGACAATATTAGTCAAATTCTCCAAATTCCATGCAATATCATTCATCCTATGTCCTAAATATGCAACTCCATACATGGGAAATGCCGTCATGAACACTCCTCTTACATTTGAGATTAAAGGTGGGCTTCTGGCCGCTGTGGCAGCAGCCCTTTTCTGCCTCTGGCCCAAGTGCTGTGTCAAGTTATCACTTGAAATGATGTAGGAGGCCGGACCTAGGGTGGCCAGATGACAAGTTCCACACCATCTCTCTGGAAGCCACAGATACACTTTATCTCCACAAACCCACACCTGGTTTGACGGGCATGGATAGCCCCAAAAACCCGGGACCTCAACCAAAAAAGCTGGGTATGAGTACCAGTTGGCCACTCCACTGACCTCACCCACTTTAGTGAAATTAATCACTGGGAACTCCCGTGCGGTCGGAGTAGTAGTGAAGTATAATCTGTGATGTATCTCAGAGGTTTGTTGGTTATATGTGGCAATAGGCAGAACATCATCACAGGTGGATGTTCCTACATATTGGTTAGCATCCTCCCAGGGCCCCGGCACATTGCATTTCCTACTCAGACACAGAGGAGAATTGGCTGGAAATCGAGCCACAGTTACACCTTTCTCATTAGTCATATTTGTACTTAAAGAGAAGTTCAATGGAACTCTCCAATCTGCTACCTTTTGAATTGGAAGAGTAGTGCAGTTTGGCAGCCATTCCACATATTTAGAGTAGTTCATGCCAATTGAATGTAAGGTATAAAAAGCCATAGTGCATATAGTTGTTAAAGCTGAGACTGGATGTGGTGTTATATAAGGATTTGAATTTGAATGATGAGGAACAAATGCACAAACATAACAATCTGACATATTGTTTGCCTGAGCTGTTATTTCAGCCATGCGATACCAGTAGTTGTCTTTATAGTGATCTACATCTATTTCTGCTCTAGCTGTACGCTTGACATTGTTATATTGTTGACTCCCCCACCAGAGCAGTGATGGAACCACAATAACTATCAATGTAATCAGCATTATTAGACCACTACTGCATCGAAGTCCATGTCGAGTGGAGAATACTTTGAAGACCATCTTGTAAACAGTCCTTTTTGAAACAGTCCAATTCACCAATATCACAAGATGAGAGGTTACTAGCACATCATCAAGTTGTACAAACTGTGTTTCTTGTGCATTAAACCACTGGAGGATCTCCCTGCTTCACTGACTGTTGAGACGAGCAGTCTGCCCCCCTTTGTAGGTCAGCCTTCCCCTCCGCTGTGGTTGACACAAGATCCTGCAGATTTCTCTTTTTGCAGTGTGAGAGGTGAATCCACGTGGGCCTTTCTGCTATCTTCACAGCAGTGGGTGTCGTCAGAAGCACTTGATGCGGACCTTCCCACCGTGGACTGGACCAGGACTTTCGTTTGATGACTTTCACAAACACCCAGTCTCCAACTCGAACAGGCAGCTCCTGTGCACAAAATGGTTGACTCGGAACATTATTTGTTTCTTGACACGCTCTAGTCAATAATGTTTTTCTCATATAGTCAGCCAACGTAGGATTATCATCAGGAGAGAACTGCTTATTTGGCTGTAAATCTGGAAGTGTGTATGACCTACCATATAATATTTCAAATGGTGTCAATGCACTACCCTGAGTAGGTGTTATATGCATGCTTAACTGTACCAAGTCTATGCATTCCGGCCATTGTCTGTTTGTTTCCTCCATGCATTTCCTCAATTTAGCTTTAATAGTGCCGTTGTTTCTTTCAACTAAACCTGCACTTTGTGGATGATAGCTACAATGTCTTTTTAGATTTATGTTGAGATTTTTTCCCACCTTATCAATCACATCATTTACAAAATGTGTTCCATTGTCACTCCTGATAACTCTGGGAATCGAAAATGTTGGCACAATTCTTTTACATATTGCTTTAGCCACTGTTAGAGCGTCCGGAGAGTGACAAGGAAACAATTCTACCCATTTGGAAAATGCATCAATAATCACGAGGCAATATTCCAAATTATTCACTTTATTTAACTGGATAAAGTCCATGTGGATTTCTTCAAAAGGATGTGTGGGTTTAGGAAATACCCCCCTTTTTGGTCTCATATTTCCTTGTGAATTGTGTTTTATACAGATTACACACTGATTACAAAAATGTTTTGAGTATAAATTGTACCCATATGTTGTGTAATATTTGTTCACCAATCCACACATACTTGCAGAAGAAACATGGGTTACTCCGTGGCTCACTAAAGCCGCCCATTTAAACATTGATTTAGGTAGAACTGGCTTATCGTTTGGACCCATGTACAAACTCCCATTGAATATAGCTCCCTCTTTAAGCCATTTCTCTTTTTCTGCTTTTGGCGCTTGTTGCTGCATTTCTTTTAAAAGATCGTCAGAATCTTGTGTTTCTTCACTAAGCAGTAATCCTGTTACTTCTTTTGCAGCTTTATCAGCTGTGTCATTTC